ATACTTCCTCTCTTCTATCCTTACAATGACACATACTATTTTATTTAATCTAGTCAGTGACAAACCACGGTTTTATTTCTTACTAAGTTTTGTACCACAAGTGCTAGTAGCACACATGTAACGGAAAATAACTTTTCATTACTTTTGCGCAATTCTATATATTTTCTGTGTTCTACAATTATATATTACGTATTTTAAAAAAGTGATAAAGCTTTTAACACATGTCAATCTGTTGTGACATGGCAAATGCATATTATTACTTATTCTTATAGTAGAAAATTGTGGATCACGTGTTGCATCACAATGACAATACAATTCATATTACTCTTCAATCTTCTAGTTGTGTCTGCGTACAATATTGATACGAATTATCCGATATTATATCCGGATAGTGCAACTAATATAAATCGGTATATACACACGAACTTTCAACGCAGTTATTTCGGCTACTCGGTGCTGCTCCATCATGACTTCCAGAAGAATATCTCATGGTAATGTGCATTAATTCACAAAAATTTATGAAATGTCTTATAACAGCGTATTATGAAACAAAATTAACTTAAAAGGAAAAACGTTGAAAGATATTTGCTACCATATTTGTCAAATATTGAACAAAATGACTAGTTTAATTAACTAATTTGCTTGTGTTTTACAGGTATATTACTCGTTTTTTTTCTTTTCTTTTCTATTTTCTTATCTACGTACCATTCTATATCTTATTGGAAATACTTAGAATAAATCTCCCTACTGTTATATTTACGAGATATTATTTATTTTGATATTATACATGTTCTTAGAATCACGTGAAAATATTTTTGTTCAACAGGTTGCTCATAGGAGCACCCCGTGGGAATTATACGGGATCAGTTTCCAAAGAATTGGACGAACCCGGTGTGGTTTATCGATGTAGTCTGCCGGGTTCTTGCGAAGAAATCGAGCCAGCTGTTATCAAAGACGAAAACGTATTCTATAACAATGTGAATATGTTAATATATAAGAAACGTTCCTGGTTCGGTGCTGCAATGTCGATAGAAAGAAATAGCGGCTTTTTTACGGTATATATAAAAACTTCAAGAAATCAACATACATCACAGGGCATTTAATTGATTTATCTATTTTATAATAGATATGCGCACCACGAACAAATAGACGATTTTCATGGTATTATTCATGGCAGTATGTAAATATAAATCTTATGGAAGGCGTGTGTTACAGTGATCGGATATCTTCGACGACAGTAATGGCGGAAACGTCTGATATTAGACGTATTAGTATGTGCTTTTTTATTATTACTTTTTTGGTTGTTTTTTGTCAATTACCTGTTTTATAATTTGCATCTATACTCTCTACTTTTCTTGTCGCATTTCCAATTCTCCTCCATAATATAATTAAATCATACAAGAATGATTTTTGTTTGGAAAAATTCGCAAATTAAAATAAGAACATTAAAATTAAATATATTAGATTTTAGTAAAAAGTGGTGGTATCATACAATGCATGGTTTCTCCGTTAGTTTTGAATCCCCGCTGGTAAGTTAATGATATTAAAGTTTTATGTATTTTTGTTAAAATATTCTTACTCTTTGTTTAGTATAAAAATCTGATCTTATTGAAACTAAAATGTTTCCGCATATTATCGGCTAAGTATGATTTGACTATTACAGGATAAAAAAGCAAAAAATATAAGCCGCATTATAGGAAGACCATCTGATGAGGAAAATGGTAGCGTGAATGTGGCAAGTCTGGCGACAAGCAATTTTGATGAAATTTACAGTAAAGATACACATTCATCAAGGATAGTTTCTGTAACAGAAAACTCAAAGTTTGGTATGAACATCGTATATCGAATAAAATTTCTATCACGTGATTTTAGCATCCCGAAATGAATTTTGATCAAATTACAACATTATTGTAGGCTACACGGTAACATCGGGATATTATTTCGCCCCAACTCAATCTCTTTTTGCCTGCGCTGATCCAGGATGGAATCAAACAGGACAGGTAAAATGTTGATTTCCTTTCCAGATATAACAACTACAATATTAAACGTTTTTTAACAGGTCGCTGTAATGAAAACGAATGAAAAGTTTACATCTGTAGTCGCTCGTCTTTATGGCAGTGATATAGGCGAGTTTTTCGGAGCTAGTTTGACCACCGGTGATTTAAATAACGACGGTTTGCACGATCTTGTGATCGGAGCTCCGCACTGGGGAAACGATCACGGCAGAATCTATATATATTTGGGCAGTTCGAGGGTAAACTTTTGTTATTATATGAACCAAAGATTTCCATTCTAAAAACGACTACTATTTTATCAAAATTAATTTAAATGTATTAATATTTTAACGATCAACTTGGAAATCTATGATATAAACAAGTGAAAAAAATGTTTTATATAAATTATACTAAGAAATTTATTAAATTTATTATGCAGAAGGAATTCGAAGCAGCTGTAATTTTAGAAGGCGCCAAAGAGGACGGAGAATTCGGTTACGCTGTTGCGAGCGGTGATCTAGACGGGGATGGTTTTAGTGGTGATTAATAATATCTAGAATAAAGACTTGGTAACATTTCATTATTTCTGAAAACCTATTTTGTTAAATTCTAGACATTATAGTGAGCGCACCTTGGGAAGATTCTGGAGTAATTTACGTTTACAACGGCAATGCGGATTTAAAAGATAAAGTAAGACCTGTCGCATCACAAAGGATCATGATACAAGGTGTACAAACGTTTGGATTTTCGATATCTGAACCAGTTGACATAGATAACAATGGGTTAGTAAATTATTGTGCAATTTTACATTCTTTTTTGTAAATCATGTTTTATATTGATTGAAATTTATGAACTCGTCATTTACGTTTCTAAAAGTTGGAAAATAAAAAATAACTTTAGAATTTATTATATATATATGTGCACTTTTCAACATTAAAACTTCTTTGCTTTCTGTGTTCTTGTCTATTTACTTACATTTATGTTATTCATAGTTATGCGGATATCGCAGTAGGCGCATATAAATCAGGACACGTCACGGTACTTCGGAGTAAACCCATTGTGAGAACAGATTTAACTGTTTCCACTGATCCGAGCATTTTACAAAAGAATATTAGCTCTTTCTTCCTTGAAGCGTGCGTTCAATATCATGGCTATGATATGGCATATACACACCGTGAGTTATAAAGTATTATGTAACAATTTGTCATAATAATTTTTGACGATACATAAATTTCGATTTAAAATTTACAGCGTTCAAGATCTCTCTTATAATAGACAAGAAGTATCAACGTACCAAAAAGACTTCATTGGAATTGTTTTCCACGGACCCTCCAATTCATACGTGTGTGAATATTAGTATTCCACTTGTGGTAAATATGACACATTTAACATCTATAGTTCCGCTCCGTTAATAATGATGACATCATGTTCTGGTAATACATGTTGCAGGATAATATTCAAGATTTCATAGAACCAATCGTTATTTATGCATCGCATAATTTTTCACATAATAATTCGTCTGCGCATAAATTCTGCAAAACGTGTCCTGTTGAAAGCAGAGATAGAAAGGCGAGGAGTACGCAAATTTTGCTTCCTTTTGACATTGAATGCGGGGAAGACAGAATCTGCCACTCCAACATTTCTGCAACAATGAAATTTTGCGGAATTGGGCAAGTATTACTCTGTACAAAATAAAGTACTTACAAAATCACCACTCATTCGTACTAAACATTTTATATCTCACTAAAATACAACATGTAGGGAGAATGATTCGTGGATGATTGGTTCCAATGATATCGCTTTGGAGACACACTTGCAGAACCATGCTGAGCCGGCGTATCTTACGAAAATTATATTTACTTTTCCGGACGGTATTGTATTGCGCAGTATTCTACCATTCTGCGAGGAAGATACGGACGGAGATGCCTTGATGATCATTTGCAGTGTCGGCAATCCATTTGAAACGGATGAACAGGTAAAAATATTTCTTGACACATTTTATCGTAATTTTAATGCCATAGAATTTTTATAATCCTGTAAAAAAATGAATATTAATTTTCGAATCTTCTTGAAAATTATGACATTTGAAAAAGGAGGATTTAAAAGTTTTCTAAAAAGGAATTCATCGGTAAATTTTTTGTAGAAAGTTATAAAACTCGATTTGGATATGAGACAATTGACGAACAGTTCATTGCATGGACGCGTTCTAGAATTTTTCATGGAAATACAAACTCATAGCGTAAATCGTGGCATAAATATGACCAAATCCTTGCTCACTTTACAAAGCGAAGTGTCCTTATTATTGAATGGGTCAGTATGCTTTAGAAAGAAAAAAAAAATACCAACTATTTTCGACAGTGACACATGTGTTACATTGCAGAAATGTGATTGAAGAAGATTATTATATACCTGCTTTGCACGAGGATCAATTGAACATAACTTTTCGACATATTTATCAGATATTTAAATTTGGTGCGACTTCTCTTGAAGAGGCACAACTTGTCGTCAATGTACCATCAGCGATGAACGACTTGGGTTCTTTTGTAGTTTTGTATAAACCGCAGGTAGGTATCTGATTAACAACGCAAAACTTTTAATGCAATCTAATGAAAGAGAATAGTAACATTGTGTAAATATAATAAATAATTGTAATAACTTTCTGAATGTATGTAATGTTATGTAATTCTTTCCAGATATTTATATCTGGAAAAAATTATTATTGCTCATCAAATGGAATAGATCTAATAGATGTTCAACAGGATGAATTCCAAGAAAATATAACGTCAAATGCAAATAATCTCAATAATAATAATGAAACACTGAATCATACGCTAAACGTTATGCATAATATATTCAAGAGAGACACAAGCCGTCGTACATCTGTATCGTATATGTCGCAAAAGTTGTCTGCTGAGAACATGCCGAATTCAACAATATTAAATGATAACCTGGCAGCGCGAGAAAGTGATGTTATATATGTAAATTGTTCAGTATACGGCATCAATTGCTCGACGGTACACTGCAATCTGAGCGCATTAAAAACACAAAAAGATGTTGGCAAACTAGTGATGCAATTAACTGTCGATGTTAAGAAGTTCAAAGGTATTAGTCAAATGAAAATAAATGCCATAATTTCTACCGTAAGCTATTGTGTGTTCTAACTTTATATAATTATTTCAAGATATTTTTGGATTATCAGAGAAAACAAAAATTGTACAGTTCAGCACGGATGCTTATGTTGAAATCATACAACCAGCAAATAGAATTCCCGACGTAGATACTAGGTGAATAGAACGTTAAATATGATCAGAACATAAATTATTAATTTGTTATAAAATCTTCAATAAAATGTTAATAATTTAACAAATGTATATCTTACAGACGTAATGTGACTCTCACGACGAAATTTAGCTTTTCAAAGAGGGAAAAATTGCAAATGTGGATCGTACCTGTATCGATCTCGTTAGGTTTCATATTATTATGCGTGGTCATTATTTTCCTAAATAGGGTAAGAGCTCTTTTGTCGTGTATTATATTTTTATAAAATACATCATTGATCACCGATTGTTGTTTGCCATAATTAGATGGGTTTTTTCAAAAGGATGACAAATGAGGAACTATTGGCTTTAAAAACAAGAGAGGTATAACTGTAAATACTAGCAAATTAAAATTGTACTAATAATTAATATAAAATATTATTTACAGGTAACAGAGAATGTAAATGAAATGGAAGTCGTAGATGCAATCGAGTAAAAAATTTCTACTAAAAGATGGACATGCCACCTTAGAGATATCATTGATATTAAGTTTGTTTTCTAAGCGAGTTAAAAAGCTCTATCACTACATACCTATATTTACGAAAATTGGTTATATACTTTAGATGTATTATTATTTTATCATTTGCTAAAAATCATATATTTTCTCTTAACTTACAGTATTGCCCATATAAAAAAACTGATACTTATGAAACTGTGGTTTATGTAATTATATAAATATATTTACATTATATATATCTTTATATAACATTCACCTAATATCTAATATATATTACATTAATAACAATACTTGACGATATTTACCCTAGAAAGAAGAACAATGTACATTTATGTAACATTCGCAATGTGTAAATAAATTTTCAAGAGAATAAGTTTTACGAATAAATATATTCACTAATCATTCATTCTTCGCACATAAGGATATAAAGAAAAATGTTTTGTTTTCTATAATTTCTATCAATATTGTTTCGCATAATCTATATGATTTAGAAATATACTTGATATTTTTTTCATTTTACATATCAAAATATATATTCGCTTCTTTTTATATGAATATTGTTTTTCCTAGTTATATGTTACAAAATGCGAGCATAAATTATGTCTTTTTTTTCATCATTTGCCACCAAGACGATTGTATTACGATATTAATAATATTGTTGCAATAAATTATTACATGAATTAATAAGAAAATATACGGAGTTTGTATACGTTTAACGACACATCGACACATCCACACACCAAAGAAGCAATCATCGTTAAACACGTAGAACATCTCATTACAAGAATCGATGAAATGCAGGTACTGCCATCCACTGTTCGCCAACATTGTTCGTAACAAGCTGCATGCATAAGATGTATATAGCTGCAATGCGCTTCAATCAAGCAGTTTCGTATTACTAGGCACCTTTCATTTCTTCGCAGAACGAAACAAAATTCTCGAAAGAAAGCTGTGTTATTCTCCTCCTCCTCTGAATAGTGCCAAATAACACCAGTCGATGTTTGGGAGATGAGTTTCAACGTTTCTCAACATCAGTACATTTCAATCCCACACTGGACTTTGAGTTAGAACTCCGGATATAATCTTGAAGTTGGAACTCAAATACCATCTTTGGCATTGTATGCAACTCCTCCCTCTCTTTCTTTCTTTCTCTCTCCCTCTCTCTCTCTCTCTCTCTCTCTCTATGTCATTTTATTGATGCGTGGGTGTGCGATGCAAATTATTCCAGTAAAATGTAAATTAAATAATGTGCTCCACTTATATACATCATGAGCACATATTTTAAAATAAAAGAAATATCAAATCATCCAAATATTAAATCATTTACGCTCACATAGTGTAACAAACTTTCTTTAAAAACCTACACCTATAACGATTTACGCATTCAACAATCGTACATGCTATAATGCTATTTACAATATATACAAAGTTAGAGTAGAACGATGCAGTAGTGCTGTCATTCACAATTTCGAAAACACTTTTTCATACGCGCGATTAATTTCTAGAAGTGTTTTTGCGACTTTTTTTCGTAAGAAATTATCCTACCAACTAAACAATTATGTAAGCTATAAACTTCAATATACATAAAAAAAGCTAAATCATTCGCAATAAATCGCGCACATAAGATTCATTATTAAGCAAGAATACATGACATGAATCTCTTTGAATATATATAAAAAAACTTATTTTGTTGTTTAACTATAAAATAAAAATGCAAGTGGGCTGCTCGAACTAACACAGTTGTTTGTGATAGTTGTAATTGTGTTAGAAATTTTTAAGATAATTGCGAAATTTATGTGATGATGCGATAAATTTAAGTTAATAACTATATTGAAGAGTCTTATAATTGACCAAAATGTTTGAAAATATTTCTAGCCCATTTGCGTTTTTATTTTAAATTTATTCAATTATTCAGGCTTTATCAAGTTTCATCTTGACTGCATTTACTTTATTCTGTCGATGTACGATTCTTTGTTTATGCATATAGTGATGTTAGATATAGAGTGTTACAAGACGCTTTTTCTACAAGCATAAAGGCCTTTTGAATTTATTCGTTACTAAAAGTAGTATCTCTATTACCAAAAATACAGACACTTTTTAGAAAATATACAATTCGATATTGATGTATAAAGCTCCTTAACTTTCCTTTCTTCTCTGCTTTTGAAAGAAAAATATCAATATCTAATCCGCGTCTTGTTCTTTTCTTGTAAGTTTGATTTTTCATATCTCTCTCATTTAACATCACTATACAAAATGCTGACAAATTATTGGGGCCTACTTTGATACACTAAGAATGCTACGGAAATTTTTTTTTCTTTAGTACTTGTAAACTGAAAGGATCGGCAAAAATTGTAATGTAAACGCTTAAGAGTGTAAGGAGTATGAAGAAAAATAATGAATATTGTTCAAAATATAAGTTGCATTTGATATGTAACAAAATTATCAATAGCTATTCATTGTTTATCTTCGTATTTTATCTCTCAACGTTTACAAGATACATTACAATTTCTATCGATCAATTTAAGTAAAAAATGTGTAAGTCGTCGCGGTCATAATTAATGCGAATAAATAAACCCAAGTAATCTTTACTTCATTTATTTGAGATCTTCAAGTAAAAAAATAAAAATTACTTGGATTTACTCATTCACATTTCTACTTTGCAATAACTCACATAGTCCTCGCTATGTGGTGGCGTATATCATTTTCAACTTATTCTTTTTAATTAACGTAAAGTTACGAATATTTTTATCCTTAATCCTAAGAAGAATTATGCAAATAAAGTTTGTTTTTTTTTTTTTGCATTTTGCATTTTTATATTATATATCAT